TCAGGACATCTTTCACTGTTAAAAAAAAATATTGAGGGGGGAGGGAAGAAGACACAACAATTACAATTCCTTGAAGTTGATACGACAAGCAAACAGAAAGGACATTGTTGGGAGGGAGAAGGGAGAGGGAGGAGGGAGGGAGGGTTCGGTAATTGGCCACAAAAAATAAAAAAAGAAAAGAAAAAAATTATTGAGGATCCCAGAGAGTTTTTGTTTATGTGGGTTGTATCTGTTACATATTGCACACCATATTAAGAATTAAAATTGAGAAAACTGAAAAACATTTAATAATTTTGAAGTATATTGATTTCTACTATTTAATTCCTTGACTCTAAGACGACCAGCATTTTTTACCTTGGTTTAGGCCATTTAGGGCATTAGTATTTTGTAGTTCTTGCTTTAATACCCAACACTAATTTTGACTATGATGCTTGTTGTTGACACTCTTTGAAAATTAAGCCCTTTTGTCCTGAGAATTCAAAATAAGACAAAGTATTCCCACTGTATTCCCTGAGAATATTAATATCTGTAGATTTTATTGTGAAACATTAGAATAGGAGATAGAAATAACTGACTCTTCCCTCTTTTAAGGCTAACCAAGGTTAGGTTTCAAAAAGAGTGTAGTACAACTGTCTGTGATAATAGGCAATCACTCAACTTTGGTTTTGGTAAGTATGCAGAGTATTAGCATATGTAGCTTTATTTATTTATATATGTGCCAAACAAAAAAGAGACTTTTTACTGTTCAAAACTGGGGGGAAAATGGAAGTTAGGAAGGTTTTGTAATTGTTATTTCTTACAGCTATTGAAATTACATTATTTTCTCAGAAATATCTTGTATTTCAGAGTTACTAGATTTTATTTCAGGGTTAACCTATTTCTACTGATGTGTAAACTAATAATAAAAGTAGCTTCAAACATTTATGGAGGGCTTTGTATGTTCCAGCCACTGTTCTAAATGCTTTATAGGTTTTAATTCATTTAATCCAACACTATGAAGTAGCTACTATTGTCTTCTTTTTATAGATGAGGAAACTGAGGCACTGAGAGGTTAAGTCACTTAGCCAAGGTTTTACAGCCATGGAGTTGGAATTCAAAGTCAGGTAGTCTGGTTCCGGAAGATATGCTTTTAAACCACTATATTGCCTCGTATGAGTAAACCTACTGAACTAATACTCACAATTATAAAACTGATAAAATAGATAATGATTGCTTATTTAGTTGAGATAATTCCTTAACCTGTTATTCACATTTTCTCTAGGAATTGAAGAAATTATAAATGAATTTTTAAAAGTATAATATGTTTATGGAAACAATTTCAATAGTATACAAAATTTCTGTATTTTTTGCCACTTGTATTTCACTTTTAAAAAATTTTATTTTTTAGGGCCGGCCCGGTGGCGCACTGGATAGTGCACCGCTTGGGAAGCGCGGCGGCGCTCCTGCCCGAGGGTTCGGATCCCACATACGGACCGGTTCCCGCTCACTGGCTGAGCGAGGCGCGGGGGCAACACCGAGGGTTGCGATCCCGTTGCCGGTCCCGGTCCGGTGTGGGGGCGACACTGAGGGTTGCGATCCGTTGCCGGACACGGAAAAAGACAAAAAAAAAAAAATTTATTTTTTAGAACAGTTTTAGATTTACAGAAAAATCGAGACAGTAGTGCAGAGTTCACATATAGTCCTATACCCAGTTTCCCCTATTTATTAACATCTTACACCTGTTAGAGTCAGTGAGCCAATATTTGATAGTAACCAATAATAATGATCCATTATTATTAAGTAGAGTTCATAGTTTATTCAGTTTCTGTGGATATTCCCTACTGTCCTTTTTCTCCTCCAGGATCCTATCACATTACGTTTAGTTGTCTTGTTTCCTTAGGTCCTCCCTGGCTATAAGTTTCTCAGACTTTTCTCATTTTTGATGACCTTGACAGTTTTAAGGAGTACCGGTCAGGTATTCTGTAGGATGCCCCTTGATTAGAATTTGTCTGAAGTTTTTCTCATGATTAGACTGGGACTGTGGGATATTGGGATGCTCACATGTGAAGTATCGTTTTGTCACATCACATCACATCAAGGGGTACTTACTATGAACAAGATATATGACTGTTGATATCAACCTTGGTCACCTGTCTTAAGTAGTGTTTGTCACATTTCTCCACCATAAAGTTACTCTTTTTGTCCTCCCTTCTATACTCTTTGGAAGAAGTCACCATGCATAGCCCACACTTAAGGGAGTTAAGCTTTACCTCCCAGAGGGCAAAGTATCTACATAAATTATTTAGAATTTGTTACGCAAGAGATTTGTTTCTTCTCCTCCATTTATTAATTTATTCAGGCATTTATATGAGTATGGACACATGAATATTTATTTTATTCTTAAGTTATAATCCAATACTACTTTATTTATTTGTTGCTCAAATTGTTCCAGCTTTGGCCAGTGGGAACTCTTTCAGTTGGCTCCTGTGTACGTTTGGAAGGCCCTTTTACTGTGGGTTTCTTTTTAGTGTTTGTTTTAGTTTTTGTTTTTTTTTTAAGCTCTTCCTTACTTTCTAGAACTACAAAATGTGCCTGATTTAGCTTGTACATTTTTTTGCCCCAGTCCTAGAATCAACCATTTCTCCAAGGAGCCTTGGTTCCTTTTATTGGAGAATGGTATTAGAAACCAAGATCTGGGTGCTGGGTGTGCTCATTTCTACTGGAGTGTCATTTCTTTTAGGCCCTCTCGGCTGACAGAACAAAGAAATATATGTGCATATACTAACCCATGTATACATATACACGTATCTAAATATTTCTGTGTGTAGCCATCTATATCTATATTAAGCTAAACACTAGTTCTTACTGAAGTATCCATCTTTAATCCATCACAACATGGATCATTATAGCCTTCTCACCCTGCTCATTTCTAAATTTCCACTCTTAACAGTGAGTTACCTGGCTCCCACCATCTGCCATTCATTTATTCAACAGTTCAATTCCAGTATACATGTATACCAGTATCAGAATTATTGACCCAAACCCCCACTGAAAAACCTTTATCAACTAGAGTATACTACTTAAAGTGCATTTCCTTTGCTTTTAGTCTTAGAGACTCCACTCATTTCCAAAGTTACTTGGGCTAGCACCTATTCCTCTGTATTTCCTTTTCTGTCAATAAAATTTGTTGGATGAATGAGTCATATTTTCTCCTGGAAGGAACTGTGTTTTCTCTGCTTCCAGTGCTACCTGGGCTATTCTTCATTGTTTCTCCCTAGAATACTCTTTGCCCTGATATACCCAGCTCCCCTCCTTGCCTGCTCCTCTCATCCTACATGTTTCTCTCTATTGGTAATGCTGTTAATGAATGGAATAGTTGATGGATGTTGATAGAATATTTTATTTTTTTTATCTTATAGTTTTTCTTTCTAGTTTTATCTTTTAGCATTTCTGAAAAAAATGAATAATTTGTGTAATTATAAAATGACACTATATATTTTTAAAAATTTTTTAAGCAGTTTCAGTAGGGAGGCAGCATAAGATGGATTATACTGGATTAAGAGCATGGATTCTGGAATTATACAACCTGGGTTCAAACTCTGGCTTCACAGTTTAAAAACTTGGTAAACTTAGGTGTGCCTTAATTTCCTCATCTGTACAATAAGGATTTTTAGATTATTTACCTAATAGATCGATGTGGACCTTAAATGAGATCATCTCCTTTAGGTGTTTTTAACACTGCCTAGCACTTAGTAAACACTTAATAAATACTCACTATTATTAAACACTAGTGCTTTGTAAGGTTGCAGAAAAAAAAATTAGAGTACTGTATTTAAGATGGTATGTTTTCAAACTTTTGAGGATTATTACATTTTCTGGTTTGCCTGGGGTGATGATCCAGAAATAGGCTTGTTGTGCTAGCATGATGATGCCTAGCACCCCCGTTTTCATTCCTAGAAGTATTTTGGTTTAGATGATAAATTCCATGGTAACCTTATTTACAGAGGTTGTAAAACTGTCTACAACCCTCTGACCAGGGATGAGGTAAATGGGTGACGTAGGCAGGGGTAGACAAGTGGGTAGTGGGAAAGAACGCACATGTAAGAGGGTAGGACTGCTGTGTTCCAGCTGCTGTAGCCAAGGAGCAGTGTGGGTCTGGTACAACCAGATCTTGATGTTTTGAGAGTAAGAAGAAATCTAGAATTTCTGTAATGGTCCCTGAATTTTTCATCATTGGCAACTAATTCAATTTTTTTAAAAACTACAAAAATTCACTAAAGATCCGTGCATTTTATCATATGTAATTTATGTCATAAGCTGCTGTAGCCAAGGAGCAGTGTGGGTCTGGTACAACCAGATCTTGATGTTTTGAGAATAAGAAGAAATCTAGAATTTCTGTAATGGTCCCTGAATTTTTCATCATTGGCAACTAATTCAATTTTTCTAAAAACTACAAAAATTCACTAAAGATCCGTGCATTTTATCATATGTAATTTATGTCATAAGTTTTAAAGTGTGCAGGTCAAATGGTGATCCTAACATATGCCTATGAGTTACTGTTTTTTAACTGACAATTTCTTAATGCAAAGAAACAATTATAACATGAAACAATGTGTTTTTTTCCTTAAAATATTGGTTAATAATCAGATTTTTAGCTCTCTCACCATCTATGTTAAAAAGTATATGATATAAAAACTATAAGACAGGAAAAATTTACTTTATAAGGTTGCCTCAAGGGAAATCTACAAAGCATATTTAGACTGAGAAGACTGAAAAAGGTAGTCCTAAATTGACCATAAGTACGAGAACCTTTGAAATCCTTAATGAATCAGAATGACTAAGGGTTTTCTGAAGGCTGTATAAATTCTTGCAGTAGTGAAAGTAGAAGTGAACGTGTAGTAGGCAAAGATTGTGGAGCCAGTGCTTCTACTTGGAATGTGCTTCAGATGATCTTTTGTAGTTTAAAAAAAAAATCCCAGAACTTTGCTTTGGAAACAAAAATTTTTTTTTTCCTTTTTAAGACTGTTTTAAAGAAGTCATTCATATACGTCTGGATGAACTTCTCCGTGTTTTAAAGTCTGTAATGAATAGACATCAGAACCTCAATTCTGTTGATCTTCAGAATGCTGCAGAAATGCTTACTGCAAAAGTGAAAGGTAAGAAAGATATATGAAAAGTGGGTTGCTGTGGGTAAAAAGGATCCAAGTGATACATTTTGGTCCCTAATGACTATATAGCCATCTCCTCTCATGGCATTTAATATTTAAATATTCCCACTAAGTCACATCTAAAGTTTTCTTTCTTTTAAAAACGAAAACTTTATTTGACAGCAAACGCTATAAAAATGCTAACTTAATCTAATCAACTGACATTTAAAATTTCAGTTCTAGAAATGAGTTCATGCTGTTTTGAGGTGGTTTATTAGTGAGGACAATTGATGTTAGAAAATGATTATTTATAGTGGACTCCACTTAAACAAGGGAAATGGAGAAAAAGAGGGCTTACTTGGAACCTTATTTTAAAATGTGGAAATGAAATCAAAATTGTAAAATAAGAAAATAAGTTTATCTCATATATGTGTATGTATGTGTGTATGTATAGTATATATGTGCTAAAACTTAGAATTGAAAATTGGGACATATTCTTTTTTTTTTTTTTTTTCCTTTTTGTCTTTTTTGTGACCGGTAACGGGATCGCAACCCTCAGTGTCGCGCCCGCACCGCGCTCAACCAGTGAGCGGACCGGTCTCTATATGGGATCCGAATCCTCGGCGGGAGCGCCGCACTCTACGGAGTGCGCCACCGGGCCGGCCCTGGGACATATTCTTGATAAAATGACTTGCCACTCAAAATTGTTAAAATTATTATGGGCTGCAATATATAAGAAAGATTGAAGAATAAAGGGAATATTTGAGAAGAGATGAGGTTGGAGGCAGGGAGATCAATTAGGGGATTGTTAGGAGTAATGGGCTTGATGGTGTTGAAGGTCTCAACTAAAGCAGAAGCTGGGTTATGGTAGTGGTAGAATATGGTAGAGGGGATAGATGTTGATTTGACAGAACATAAGACAGGTTGAATGATAGGGGTTATGGCAAAGTTTGGAGGTGAAGACATGGCTTGGGAATTGGTGATGTATGGAAGAGCGTGTTGTAATGGAAAAGGATGACACCATCTCAAGGTGTGCAGAGTAAATAGAGGATCGATATGAGATCCCAGGAATAGAGAAGGTGGGGAACTGGAGAAACACCTAACAGGTAGGGAGATGATCTGGAGAGAGGTGCCATGGAATTTAAAAAGTTCAGAGTTTTAAAAAGTGATCATCAGTGTTAAATGCCACTGATAAGGTAATATGGATTCAAGTAATGTAACTATAAAGGGTGCACTTTAGGTAGCGGTGGTAGTGGAATCAGAGATTGACGAGGTGACAGCAATCCTGTAATCAGTTCTGTGACAGAGGTGTGCACAGCCACCATGGGGCACAGGGAAGAGCCTATCTTAGGCTGAGTAAGTAAAGAAAGGTTTCTTTAGGAAGAGGGCTTACCTGTCTTGAGTCTCAAAGGTAGAGGAGGTATTAACTGCACGGGGTGGGGGGTGAGGGGGGTGGGGATGGAGCTGTGATGTAGGCCTCTTGTGTTAGGATACTGGATGTGAAGAGCATGATGAGATTGGTGAACACACTCATACCTGGAGAGGGCAAACGGCAAGTGTCAAGGGATGAGGCAGGAAGAGAAAATAAAAACTTTGTCAGTAAAGTATAGGCCATTAGGGAACCCTGCCCTCTTTTTTTTCTCTTTTTCTGATGACATGTGTCAGGAACCCCCACTTCTTTCTGACATAGATTTATCAGTTTGTGTGGTTTCCTTTTTTCTATATTTCAAGCACTGAAAAAAATGTAGATGGTTTTAAATGGGAAACATGGGTAGCTTCTGTTGTGACTTTTTAAAATGTGCTTAGTAACCAAATTTGTTTTTAAATAGATTGTTTACAAGTGACATTTAACTTAGATAGGGAGATTTGTGTCTATAGATAGGAAAATTTCCATGCTTGGAAACTGCAACCTAGTTCAATTGTTGCCAGTAGCTATTGTGTGCAGTCAGGATGTCCTGGGGAAGGAGTGTGCCTGTGTGTAGTTGGTGTACACATTCCAGAAACAGACTTGAAGAGAGTGGTCTCTCAGCTGCCTTGAAGATCCTTTTATCTTTGAGGTAAAGCAATCTTTTGAATATTATTTTCCACTATGACTGTCTTTACACCCGGGATTGTTGTTACTGCTTTACTTTTGTATTGGATGAAATTTAAAAGGAGATTACTTTGTTGTTGGGAAACTTATTCTGTTTCAGTGGGAGTCCATGAGACTAGAAACTTTAAAAATCATGTTTTTAAGTAAAACCTTCCTCCCTGCTCCCGGTCTCACTGTTGAGACCATCTAAAAATATCATTGATACCTGCAAATGAAAAATATCCAGTGACCTAAAAAATGGAGGTCAAATCAGAACTTAGTTAATCCTTTCATTTAATGATAATTTCAGTTTCAAAACCTGGAAAGCCAGAGGATAGGTAGAAACCATTTTTGAATGTCTATTCTGTGCCCAACAGTCTACGTGCTTTGCATACTTCAATCTTTGCAAGAAACCTATGCATGTACATTTTTATTATCTCTATTTTAGAAATGGAAACTTAAAGAAAAACTAGTATTTGGTAGGATCAGAAAATTGTCAGGAATATGGAGATCCTCTAGATCATTTAGTCTTAACCCCCAATTATATTTAAAAAATAACAGGGACCTGAGCAGCTGACTTGCTTTGGAGGTCTTAACCATCAAATACATTTTTCAAATGTGCCAAGTGGTTCAAGAAAACATATACAGAATAAGTTTAGAACCGGGGATTTGTAATCTTGTTTATGTTTTCACAGGTTTGAATGAATGAAATCTACCCATTTTCCGTGTATAAGAAATGAGAAATTAGAATCTTTAACTCCCTTTATTTTTTATTTTAAATGTGGAGCTTACCTTTTAACAGCTTTAAAAGAAAAGTCCTTAGCTTTTCCCCATTCATTTTAGTAATGATTTGTATTTCCTGTGTCTCCTCCTGTTTCCAAGCAGGAAGTTCAGTCTGACTAAATATTTGCAATATGGTAAGAGAGATACAGCCTATTTTTGAAGCAGATAAAGACATCTTCAGAAGTCAGTAATTTATATGTACTTGGTATTTGTGTTTTTATTATTTCCAGTTATTTTGGTCAATCTTATTTGTAACGTAAATGAAAAGAACTCTTTACTGAGGTTTTTTATGATCTATATTTTGCCCTGTGTTTAAAAATTGGCAAACAAAAAAGAAAAATAAGCCTTAATTACACTTCCAAGATTGTAGAAGCCTTATGTTTTCTTTGTTTTGCTAACTTAATTTTTCAATATGTACTTCATTCACATGGTTCAAAATGCAAATGGCATAAAAGGGTATTCAACAGTGAAGTTTCTTTCCTACCTCAGACCCTTAGCCACCCATTCCTTTCCCTAGATAAGCAACAACTATTACTGGTTTCTTGTTTGTCTTTGCAGAGATATCTTATGCATATACAAGCAATTACATGTATGTATTCTTTTTTTTAACCTCCTTTTTACATAATGGTGGCATTCTTCTCCTTGCTTAGTGTTCTGAGGTATCTGCATATAAAGGGTTTCCTATTCTTTCGTTGTTATTAATTTGTTTTTCTTCTTTCTAACCTGCGTGGTAATCCATTACGTTGATATACTATTATTTATTTAACCAGTTCACTACTAATAGGTATTTGGATTGTTTCCAGTTTCTATTACAAACAATGCTTCAATAAATAGCCATGCAGATTCCAAAATGGGCAATTGCTGGATCAGAGAGCATGTGTGTTTATATTTTTTGATATTGCCAAATGCCCTCTGTAGAGGTTCTGCCCTTTCGATAGCAGTGCTGAAGAGGCTGATTTCCTGCACCTTTGCCAACAGAGCTGGTTACCAAGCTTTGTTATCCAGTCTGATAGTAAAAATTGGTATCTCAGTGTAAATTTGATTTCCATTTCCGTCATTCTGATTGCAGTTGTGCATCCTTTCATGAGCCATTTGTACATCCTTTTGTGTGAATTGACCTTTTATTTGTTTTTCTCTTAGTGGTTGGTCTTTTTTTAGTATTCACTAAAGAATTTTTTAGTACTCTCTATATAAATAAAATTGGCTCAATTTTTGACATAAGTTGCAAATTTTCTTTTTTTTGTTTTTTGTCTTTTGATTTATTTTATTTTTGCATTTAAATTTATTAGTATTTTTATGGTTTATGGGGGTTAGGTATTAGGAAGGAATTTTCTGCTCTGAGGTTGTAATAGAATTCTCCACTGTATTTTCTTCTGATGTTTTCATGGTATCACTGATTAAACTTAAGTCTTATATACATTCTAAAGTGTCTGGGTGTCTAACTAATTTATCAAATAATTCGTATTTTCTCTACTGATTTGAGATATCTCCTTTATCAGAAATATACTAAATTCTCACATATATTTATATCTATTTCTGGACCTATTCTCTCCCATTGATTTGTTTAGTCATGCACCAGTACTAGTTTTTACTGCAGTTTTATAGTGTGTTTTATTACACGAGTATGTCAAAAAGTTCGTGAAAAGATTTGTATTATCTTTTAATTCTATTTTTCATGAACTTTTCAAAGTACCCTCATATCTGTAGGGATAGCTCCTCTTTCCATTACTCTTTTTGTTTAGAATTTTATTTTTCCATCAGTATTTTTGAATCAGCTTGTCTAGTTCCAAAAAATATTTATTGGTATTCTGAGGATGATTTGAGTTAAATTTATAGATTAAATTAAGGAGAATTTCCATATGTAGTATTTCTATCCAAGAATGTAGTATTCACTTCATTTCTTCAAGTTGTCTTTTGTGTGGACATGCCAATTATGGCTTTTCTTCCACTATATCTTTTAATTCAGGGGTTTTCAGACTGCGGGCCCTGACTCATGACATCAAGTTTGTGGATTGTGGCCAGCATTTCTAAAATACGAAAGAGAATAGAAAAGAAAAATCATAATGCAACACTCATTGCATAAGACTTAAATATGTTTTAGAAACTTTATAGTTGTTACATAACTGTTATTATGTGTGTATGGTATAGTTGGTCA